TTGCAAAGAAGAGACAAGGGAGCATTTCATTGAGACAGCAAGACACGTAAGGACACCCGGGAATGACGAAAAGTCTGTGTGGCTGGGGCTTAGGGTGTGGGTTACAATTATACTGTGAGTCTAGACGAGGGTTAGCTTGGGGCCAGCTTGTGCAAGTCCTCGAGTTCCATGCTAAGGAATTTGGGGAGCTTATAAAAAAGATTTTTCTGAAAGGGAATTATATGACAAATTTGTTAGAAAGATGAAAAAGTAACAGGAGAATGGCCCATGGATTTTATCAGTTGGTCATATTAAACTTCAGCTTTCATTTACTGAGCACTTAACTATGGGAAAGGCACTGTGCTGATTATTTTTACATAGCATCTCATTTAATTTCTGAAAATGACATCGTGCAGTAGGTGGCATTTTCTTCACTTTGAAGATGAAGAAACTAAGGCTTGGAGCACTTTATCAAGTTACCTAAATATTAAACATAGCTTTTCTGAGTTTAGTGCTCTTCCTACTTACCATACATTCATTCCAGGGTTGGTTGACAGTGGCGAGTTAAGCCTTGGACAAGGCTTAACAAAGATCACATCTGGACCTATCTAAGGGCACAGAGACCCTTGTGTTTCTTTCAGGACCTTACTTCCTGCATGCGTGAATTAACTGCTTGTCTCTATTCTCTTGCAAATCTGTTGTTGAAACTCTGCCACAACACACAGTAGGTTAGGAAGAGTATATACTGGAGTATATTTGGCTAACTGGTACATCCAGATAATTCCCCAAACTTGCATTTCTTGGGGGAAAAAAATCCAAGTTAATAGGAAGAAAACATTCACCATACTATATTAATTCTTATTTGGCCGTGATTTTGTTCATCATCCAGCATTCAGCCAGCACGCATGCTCTCTTACACCCTTGTCAGAGCCTGTGAGGAGGCGTAGGGACCTAGTGGAGCTGTGTGATGTGTGACAATAGGGGGCGCTGACTTGGGAACCAGGGGTCTGGATTCTGGTTGTTACTCTCTTCACTCACATGATAAACCCAGATATACCATGTAATCTTCCTGGAGCTCAGTCTTTCCTTCTACATAATGGAGGAAGGAGATCGGGTAGAATGAACACAGATCTAGTATCTTGTATTTCTAAATGACAGGAAGGAGCTCATAGTTTATTTGGGGGAAAAGATAGTAACAGGAAAGGGTTCATAGTATATTTGGGGAAAATGATAATAATGTAATTATGCTTGCCAGTCACTGGAGGCTTCTGATTTTTTTTTTAATGCCATAGGTGCTTAGATGCAGAAATCTGGTAAGAAGTGGGTGCTACAGAACTTATTTTGAAGCTGCATTTGCAAAGCGAGCACTTAGTTACAGTTCAGTGAAAGTAGCACTTTGCTAAAGATACCTTTTATTGATATTTATATGGGATTAAGAAAATGTACCCTCTCAACATTTTAATGGAATAATTCTATTATTGATTATTCTATTATGTAATGGGACTTGGAGGGAGCCAATAGAAAATGGAGGGGTGAGGAAGGTTTTCCTCCTAGTGTGGTCACTGATGCCATGTATTTAAACCTATTCCTACTTTTCAGTGTGACCAGATACATATAATGACTGATTTTAAGAAATAGGAAAAATTCAATGGAAATCAAGCAGGTGGGAGGGGGGAGGAAGGGATAGGTGAATTGACAACCTGACAGGTACAATGCCCACTGTCTGGGTGATGCACCCACTTATAACTTTGACTCGATCTATACAAAAGCAATTCATGTAACCAAAATGCTTGTACCCCTGCAATACTCGGAAATAAAAAAAAAGAAATAGGAAAATTAAGATTTTCGTCCTAGGACTCTATCTGTTTTTATGTTTAAAAAAAAAATCAACAGGCCAGGCGCGGTGGCTCACACCTGTAATCCTAGCTCTCTGGGAGGCCGAGGCGGGCGGATTGTTTGAGCTCAGGAGTTCGAAA